ATAGTTTGAACAGAAATTGGCCGATAGTTTGAAACTTCTGTTGGATCACCTGATTTAAAAATGGGAGTAATCTGAGCAAACTTCCAGGCATCAGGGAAAATAGACTGCACAATACATAAATTAAGCAAATGATGAAACAATGGTAAAATTTATATTGATATTGTTCTGTTCATTTTAGCTTCTTTTCTGCTTATTTTAGCTTCTGTTTTGTTGATTTTAGCTTCTGTTGATTTTAGCTTCTGTTGATTTTAGCTTCTGTTCTGCTCATTTTAGCTTGTGCTTGGTTCTGAAGTGCAGCAGAGTAAACGGGTTGTGTTTCTGTATCAGAACAGTTTTTATGTGATTTTATTTTGAAGACTTCCTGTCTAACGTCTCTTTCCTCTCGCAGCATCAAGAACGTGACGCCCAAAGTTGGCGCCGACGAGACGCACGACGCCATCCGGCGAGCCTTCGACGTGTGGCAAAGCGTGACGCCGCTGCGCTTCGAGGCCGTCCCCTACAGCGAGCTGGAGCGGACCAAGAAGGACGTGGACATCACCATCATCTTCGCTTCGGGTTTCCACGGTGACAGCTCGCCCTTCGACGGCGAGGGGGGCTTCCTGGCCCACGCCTACTTCCCCGGACCTGGAATAGGAGGCGACACGCACTTTGACTCAGACGAGCCGTGGACCCTGGGGAACCCTCACCATGACGGTAGGAGCTGGGCCGCCGGGTGGTGGAGGTTGTTTTGTTGTTGTTTGTTGTTTGTCGTTTGTAGGGCGGGAGGGACGAGGTGAAATGCATGCTGGGTAGTTAATAGTCCTCAGAGCCCCTCAGCTCGTCAGGCTGACCTCTGAGCACTCTGAGGGTCTTTCTGTGGTTTTAGGAGCGTCTCCAGCAGCTGTGGTTTCTTCTGGGTTCTGATGCAGATTTCTGGGTCCAGAATCAGAACCTGGACCTGGACCCACTGTGTCCTTCAGAGACAGAACTGTAGATCTGAAGGAAGGATGGATGATAAAAGCAAAACCTCTCTGATGATGCAGCATGTCACTGAAGAATCCACATTGCCCCGCCCCCTTTCATAGTTCAGCTGATTTCAGCTTCTGTTCTGTTCATTTCAGCTACTGTTCTGTTCATTTCAGCTACTGTTCTGTTCATTTCAGCTACTGTTCTGTTCATTTCAGCTACTGTTCTGTTCATTTCAGCTACTGTTCTGTTCATTTCAGCTACTGTTCTGCTCATTTCAGCTACTATTCTGCTCATTTTAGCTACTATTCTGCTCATATTAGCTTCTGTTCTGCCCATTTTAGCTACTAATCTGCTCGTTTTAGCCACTGTCCTGCTCATTTCAGCTGCTATTCTGCTCATTTCAGCTACTGTTCTGCTCATTGCAGCTACTGTTCTGCTCATTTCAGCT